CAAGGCATGGTGGCTCACTCCTGTAATCCCAGCACTTTGGGAGGCCAAGGGGAGTGGATCACCTGAGGTCAGGAGTTTGAGACCAGCCTGGCCAGCATGGTGAAACTCCATCTCTACTAAAATACAAAAATTAGCTGGGCATGGTGGTGCATGCCTGTAATCCCACCTACTGGGAAAACTGAGGCAGGAGAATCACTTGAATCCAGGAGGCGGAGGCTGCACTGAGCTGAGATCGCACCACTGCACTCCAGCCTGGGTGACAGAGGGAGACTCCATCTCAAAAAAACGAATAAATAAATAAATAAATAAATAAAATAAAACTAAAGCCAAGTGCAGTGGCTCACACCTGTAATCCCAACCTTTTGGAAGGCTGGGGCCGGTGGATCAGTTGAGGTCAGGAGTTCGAGACCACCTGGGCCAACATGGCAAATGTCCCCCTCCCCGCGTCTTTACTATAAATACTAAAATTAGCCAGGGGTGGTTGCGGGCTCCTGTAATCTCAGCTACTCAGGAAGCTGAGGCAGGAGAATCTCTTGAACCTGGGAGATACAGGTTGCAACCACTGCATCCCACCCTGGGTGACAGAGTGAGACTTGGTCTCAAAAAAAATAAAAATAATAAACTAAAAGAAAACACATAAAATGAGGGTGAGATAATCAGATAGTAGCAAATTTATAGCACACCACACATCGTTGCCATCCTAGGCCAAACTCCTGATACCCTACAGCTCTCTCCTTCTACAAACACTGAAAAGAACCTTTTCAAATGCCAGGACCCTTCTCTTCTGGGGGGAGTCTCAAGAATACCCACTCCCTTTTCCCTGTCCTCCAGTCCCAGCTTTCTCATCTCTTACCCCAGAGATCATCTGAAATAACATACTTAAGACTGCCCCACTTAAATCTGACCTCCTGGCCTTGACCTAGTCCAGACCACTCCCTTTACCCCAAAGACATTTTAAGCCCAGTCCCTTCCCCACAATTTCACACCTTCCTCTCTAGTTGCCTAAGTGAGGACGCCTCCACTCTGAGACATAGCAGAGTCACCATTCCGAAATTCAAACGTTCATGAAAAAACACAACAAAAACACCTTGCTCTTTCATGCCTTACTTTCAATCATAGCTGCATATGCTGGAGCAGAAAATCCTGCTGGTTTCATATTTAAAACCTACCCAGAATATAATCACTTCTACCTACTCACCTGCCATTACTCTCGGTACATCCACCACCAAAGCATTCCTGGAATCCACTGCAGCCGTCTCCTTACCGGTCTCCTAGTATCCATCCTCACAGTCCCCACCCCGAACTAATGTTCTCCCCTGCGCAAATTTCGAGACACTTAAAATCCCAGCTAAGATCACGTCCTTCTATTCAAAACCCTCAGGTAATCTCAACGCCCTGAGAATGAAGGGACAGCTTCTCAGCCTGCCATTCCAGGCGCAGTTCCTCAAACTCTGCTCCGTGTTGATAAGAACACTGTCTCCCAAATGTCTGGGGATCAGCGGCACCCCCGAGCCTTTACCTGCGACGTCCCCTCCGCCCGTAACTCTCCCACACCCACCCACAGCGAGACAGGACCCCGCCCAAGGGTGCGTCGCTGTCCTGGGACGCAGGGGCTGCAGGAACTTTACGATTCGGAGCCGGAGAAAGAGTGGCTGAGGGCCGGGAGGATGCAGCACCCACCTGCGCGGAGTCCGTCAGCTCCGCCAGAGGACCGTGGGCGCGGACAGCTGCCGGGAGCGGCAGGCGTCTCGATCGGGGACGCAGGTACTTCCATCCCCGTAGAGCTTCGGACGCGTCTCGGGACGCTGGGGACAACATCTCCGCGCTTTCCCGACACCTCCACCTGCGGTCCACCCAAGCGTTACAGAGACCCAGCCAGATGCAGCCTGACAGAAACAAACAAAATGTCCGTTAGGAGGAGGAGCCGGAAGTCCCGCCCACGCACCCTCCGCACGCACTGAAACACACCTCTCTTGGGCCCTCATTGGATATGCAACGTATAGGTTTGTGGGTAGTGTAGTTCCCACGGAGCCATCCTTCAAGGCGGAGGATTCTCGGCCTGGGATGGGGGCCAAGGTGTTTGGGGAAAGTAACCCGAGTTTCAAAGGACTGGCAGGACTTCCGTCCTCTTTTTTTTCTTTTGAGGCGCAGTCTCGCTCTGTCTCCCAGGCTGCAGTGCAGTGGCGCGATCTCGGCTCACTGCAACCTCCGCCTCCCGGGTTCAAGCGATTTTCCTGCCTCACCCTCCTGAGTAGCTGGGACTCCTGCAACTCTAAGAATACTTTTTACTCGTTGCTGTCACTTACCAATAAAAACTTGCCAGCTCCGCAAGACATTAGTAGTGCCAATGACCTGTGTGTGTGTGTGTGACGGGGTCTCTATTGCCCAGGCTGGAGTGCAGTGGCGCGATCTCTGCTCACTGCAAGCTCCGCCTCCCAGGATCACGCCATTTAACTGCCTCAACCTCCGGAGTAGCTGGGACTACAGGCGCCGGCCACCACACCCGGTTAATTTTTTGTATTTTTAGGAGAGACAGGGTTTCACCGTGTTAGCTAGGATGGTCGAAATCTCCTGACCTCGTGATCCGCCGGCCTTGGCCTCCCAAAGTGGCACCTCTCCCACTCACTCTTTCTCTTGCTCCCTCTTCAGCCATGTGAGATGCCTGCTCCCCCTTCTCTTTTTTTTTTTTTTTGAGCTGGAGTCTCACTCTGTCACCCAGGCTGGAGTGCAGTGGCGCGATCTCGGCTCACTGCAACCTCCGGCTCCCAGATTCAAGCAGTTCTCTGCCTCAGCCTCCCAAGTAGCTGGGATGACAGGCGTGGGCCACCACACCCAGCTAATTTTTGTATTTTTAGTAGAGACGGGGTTTCACTGCCTTGGTCAGGCTGGTCTTGAACTCCTGACCTCGTGATCCACCCGCCTCAGCCTCCCAAACTGCCGGGATTACAGGTGTGAGCCACCGCGCCTGGCCTCCCCCTTCTCCTAAAGCCAGGATTGCAGCCTCCTGAGGCCTCAACAGAAGCAGATGCGAGGTCTATCCTTCCTTTACAGCCTCCAGAACTATGAGTCAATTAAACCTATTTTCTTATAAATTACCCAGGTTCAGGTATTTCTTTTAGCAACGCAAGAATGCTTAATACACTGACTCTCATGCTTTAGAATGCATGCATTTGAATTAAATAGAATGATTATTAGCTTCTGCTAACTGTAGACGCATTTTGTGTCTGAATGATCTGTTCGTTTGAATTTGTAGCCTCTGGGAGCATGCTCAGTTCCAGACCCCGAAATACTATGTCTCCTAATAATTGGGTAATGAGTGCAGAAATCTGAGTCTTGCCCACTTGAGAAGGTGCAAATCCGCTGCTCGGCCTTTGGACGTGGGGAGTCATTTCCCAGCGTCCCTCGCGGCGGCGCCTGGCCTTTCCTCTAGAATCCGGTGAGAGGCCCCGCCCCGCGGTTTGTGGATCCGGGAGAGCTGTATTTCCCAGAATGACCTGCGTTGGCGGCGTTTCCGTGTACGCAGCGTAACAGCTGAGGCGGGATTTTCGGCGTCCTCTTTGAGGCCGACAGTTTGGCCTCCCTCCGGCTCATTCACTCTATCCGCGGTTCCCGAGCGCTGCGGCGGAACCCTAGAGATGGGACCGAGAAGGATCGTTGTCCTCGCTGCACAGTGGCGGGGCTGAGGCTTGGCGCTGCTCCGAGTGACCCGGCCAACCCTGGGATAGGGACCGCCAAGCCCGGGTCTCCGTTGTTCCCAGAGTCCAATGGAGGCGGCCGCGCTGAGGGCCCAGGCTCAGGTGAGCGCTGCGGCCTCCTGGTCTCTCCCGCCCTCCCCACCCATATCCTAAAGCCCGGAGTGAGAGGGGCCTGCTCGCATCCCTGCCGTCCAGGCCCCAGAGTTGGGAACAGGGAGGCGATGGTTCTGGGGCCCCTGTTTTGTACACCTGGTGTGGTGGGGAGGGGGCAGAGCTTGAGAAACACAGGGAACTGCACGTGCAAAGACTTGGAGGCACGATTGAGCTGGGAGAATTGGGGAACCTGGGCTCCTTTTTGTCCTGTGAGGACCTGTATGAGGCAGAGTTAAGCCTGGAATAGCAGAGTAACGATTGTACCTTTGGTGTAAGGATTCTAGAAACCGTGGAGCTTTCGAACAAAAGGAAGGCACAGTCTACGTTAGGATTTTAAGTTTTCCAAGGGCTGTTCAGGACTAGTGGGAGTGATGAGGGAGGGCATTGAAGCACTGGGTGTTTGAACCTTTGTTCAAGGTCACACAGCTGGTAAGAAGAGACACTGAGCACTGAGGCACAGTGGGTAGGCATTCAACTAGAAGTCATCTGGTTCCAGGGCTAGGCAAAGACACAGGTAGGCATGAGCTCATTGAACCCCACTTGGACACATTCTTATAAGGCCTGCCTCTTCCCACAGGTTCCTGTGGCTGCAGAAGCTCTTATGGAACCAATACAGGTGAGTGGAAGGTGTCCCAGTCCCCCACTGGTCTCACCCCCCCACCCACATGTTCTGAAGAACTCTTAAGTACTATTCCCCAGGTCTTTGGGTCTGAGAACACTGGGGAAACCCCAAACCGGGGTCCTAAGCTCATGTCGGATTTTCATATAGAGGTGTTCACATTTTTTCCCAACCAGTGTAAACAGGTGTGGAGGATTACACGAGGAACTAGTACCAAGACATGCAAATGCTTAGAAATGAAACTGCGTTGGGATCAGTATAGCATGCTTGCCTGAAAATTAAAATTGCTATTCTGGAGGTTTGGGTCAGGAGAGGGAGAGGAGAGGGCGATCTTAACAGACTCCCTCTGGCGGCAGAATGGAGAACAGAGGGGGATGGAGGGAGGTCCTAGGAAGATCAGGGTAGAGGCTACTGCCATAATCCAGGTGAGGGTTAATGGACCAGAGTGTTGGTTTAGGAAAAGTAGTTAGATTCTGAATACATGTTTGAAAAGGGTGCTACTAGGTTTTCTAATTTGTACAGTGAAGTGGTAAAACAGGATTCAGGGATGACCCCAGAGTTTTCAGTCTTAGCAACTATATGGAAGGAAGTTCCATCATCTGTGATGGAGAATATTGTGGTACGCCTATATTCACGGGGGACTTCAGGAGGTTTGTGTGGCCATAGTAAGAGTCTGAGGTGTTTCATCCACTGAGTAGAGGTATGAAGAGGGCAACTGTACACACAGGTCTGAAAATCTTGGGGGTTCACAATAGAGACATCCATAATGTGACTACTCTGTGGACTAAGGTGCGTGAATTGTGGTCATTTAGGAGGAGCAATCTTCAAGATAATGGTGAAGCTACAGAGGAACAGGAACAGAAGAGCGGGGGATGTGGGCTGGATCTCTTACTTTGGTACCTGGGTGATGGAATTAGGCTTCACAGATACAGATGAGGCACACAAGTGACCATGCAGGGAAAATGGATTGGCAGCATAGTTTGACAGGTGGCATAGAGGAAGAATGGGCATGGGATGGATCAGAGGCAAAAGAGAGAGGTATTGAGAGAAGATGACATTCAGGCCAAAGCTGGTACTTATTCACCGCTTTATAGATGCACTTGGATTTTGTAATGACTTCAGTAGGGCCTGAGGTCACACGCATATGTGGTCATCTATGAGAGTCAGTAGTCTTCCGGTGGGTGACCAGTGCAGTTGGACTTTTAATAAGCGTTAGGTGGATAGAGGAAGGTTGTGACTGGTGAGAGGTTGGCAAGTGCAACACAGAAATGGAATAGGGCCATGGGTATCTGAAGGAACATGTGGTTCTGTGTGGCAAAGTCTCAGATAAGGAGTAGAGCCAGCCTGGGAGCAGTGGTTTACAGCTGTAATCACAGTACTTTGAGAGGCCATTGCAGGTGGATCATGAGGTCAGGAGTTCGAGACCAGCCTGACTAACGTACTGAAACCCTGTCTCTACTAAAAATACAAAAATTAGCCAGGCGTGGTGGTGCGCGCCTGTAGTCCCAACTGCTTGTGGAGGCTGAGGCAGGAGAATTGTTTGAACCCGGGAGGCAGAGGTTGCAGTGAGCTGTGTTCACACCGCTGCACTCCAGCCTGGGCAACAGAGCAAGACTGGACCTCAAAAAAAAAAAAAAAAAATCAAACACGACCAGGCACGGTCGCTCACATCTGTAATCCCTACACTTTGGGATGCCAAGGCAGGTGAGTCACCTGAGGTCAGGAGTTCAAGACCAGCCTGGCCAACATGATGAAACCCTGTCTCTACTAAAAATAAAAAAAATTAGCTGGGTGTGGTGGCACGCGCGTAATCCCAAATTGCTTGAACCCGGGAGGCAGAGGTTGCAGTGAGCCAAGATCGTGCCACCGCACTCCAGCCTGGACAACAAGAGCAAAACTCTGTCTCAAAAAAAAAGGGAGCAGAGTCAGGCGGGGAGGACTACTTTTGGAGGCCTCATGCTCAATTTGAAACAAGCCTCCTGTCCTGCAGGCAATCCCCTGGACTTCTTTCTGGGTGTGTTAAATACATATTTGTACTGGGGCTGTCTCCTCCAGCAGGCCCACTCCTGTGAGATGTGCGGCCCAATCTTAAAAAACATTGCTCCCCTGGCTGAGCACAAGGGAGCACATCAAAGGGAGAAAATGTACATGTATTGGGCATGTGAGAAACAATTCTATTCCAATATAAATCATCAGTGTCAGAAGCAGCACATTGGAGTGAAACCCTTCAGAAGTGAGGTGAGCAAAGTGTCATTAGTGAAGAGCTGCACATGCAGTGAGTCTCAGAAGCCCTCTACCTGCAGGGATGTTGGGAAGGACTTCCTGGCCAGCTCAGGATTTCACCAGCAACTGGCCACTCATACCAGGGAAAAATCAAATAGCAGAACCTTGTGTTGGACTGCCTTTCACAGGAGAAAAATACATTACAACTGGGGAAAGTTCAACAAAGCCTTCAGCTACAAACACATACTTCTTCAGCCTCAGAGAGCCCTCACTAAAGAAAGATGTTACATGTGCAATGAATGTGGGAAGTCCTTTAGCCATAACTCTAGACTCATTAAACACCAGAGAGTTCACACTAGAGAAAGGCCTTATAAATGTGGAGAATGCGGCAGATTCTTTAGCCAAAGTTCAACCCTCTTTCAACATCAGAGAGTTCACACTGGAGAAAGGCCTTATGAGTACAGGGAATGTGGGAAATCCTTTAACCAAAGCTGTAGCTTCAATAACCATTGAAAAATTCACACTGGAGAAAGACCTTATGAATGCAATGAATGTGGGAAATCTTTTAGCCAAAGGTCTAACCTCATTCAACATCAGAGAATTCACACTGGAGAAAGGCCTTATGAGTGCAGCAAATGTGGGAAATCCTTTAGCTAAAGCTCTGCACTACGGCAACACCATACTGTTCACACTGGAGAAAGACCTTATGAGTGTGGTGAATGTGGAAAATTTTCACCTACGATTCCAATCTCATAAGACACCAGAAAGTTCACACTGGATTAAAGCCTTATGAGTGCACCGAATATAGGAAATCATTTAGTCATAATTGAAGCCTCACTCTACGTCTGAGAGTTCATACTGGAGAAAGGCCTTATGACTACAATGAATGTGGGAAATCCTTTAGCCAAAGATCTGTGCTCCTTAAACACCAGAGAGTTCACACTCAATAAAG